ATAAAGGTTAAAGTAATAGCCTTTCATGACTTACAATTCGTAAATTGAAATTTATTCAAATCTTACTTAAAGAAAAAAATAATCGTTTTGTTATATTAAAAGGCTAGTGGCCCGCCCTCGCTTCGCTTCAGTGTAGAACCGTAATGTATCTTAATATAATTATAAACCTTCCATGAAAATGCATTTAACTGATAGTGAAAATTTGTGTTGCGTAGTTTAGGACCTGTTTAGTTGTACCGAGTGTACCATTTTTTTGGTAGAACGCGCAAATCTCAGGAACTGATGGTCCTATTTCAAAAACCTTTTTGTGTTAGATGGTGCATTTATTGAGGGATGCTTAAGGCTATATCATATTACGCTGCAACCAGAAGGAGCAGAGTATTGATGTAATATGTTGCAAAAATGGGTAAAAATATTCCATTTGGGAGATTCCGTTGCGTGCGCTGCGAAAATGATTAAAGTTACACAAAAATCATGTATGACGACATTTTTCCCCTTTAAAGGTTCTATAAAAAAGTCCACGACAGCATAAATGCCCATCTTTTAAGTTTGACTCACTATAACCTTTTTTCCTCAAATTAACGCGGGTAAAACCGTAGGGGACTATTCTATACAAACAAATAATCAAGTTCCTCTTTATAATATTAGTGTAGATATTTTTTGTAATATCTCTGTATTCAAATGCCTATTAGTTTTAGTTCTTATAATCTCGACAAGATATATCAATAGTTCCTGGAAACATAAACTTGTTAAATGTCTAAGAACAGTAGCGAGTGATATTGTCCTCGATATCAGCTGTAAGTTTGACGTAAATGTATCATTAAATGTGAGTGTTTTGTTCATTATAATTGTAATACCCTCAGTTCCTTGAATATTCATAATACGTGATGCCTTTGGCGGCGTAACAAATGCATTTGTTCTAGCGCTGACTTGTTTATTTGCCTGGCGTTGTGACACTTACGCGGGCGCCGCAGCCTGCATCGGAAACGCATTTGTGTGCACCGTTCACCGGAAACTCGCTCGCGGCACACTGTTAATGCAAATAAGGCCACTTTTATTTAAATTTTCGCATTCAGACCTACCGGCTCTGGTCCGCAAAGTGTATGACCATTGTTCGCATCAAGTTTTTCTTGTCGACCTACTGACCGAACATCTTCGACCTTCCTTCGTCCTATGTGTGTCGCACTATGGCTGTTTACACTCAATACATTAGTGCCTCTTAACAGTTATTTTGGTCAAACACCACGTGTGTATTCCGAATCTTTTGTTTGAGTTGGAAGATGATGGTTTTCCATAATAGTATTTGTCTTGCCCGCTGTTAGACATGTTTTTTACTTTCCGTCTAAAATATCGAGTTTAGCTGTTAATTAATATATTTCGTCTAGTAAGCGAAATCTAATTTCCATAAACCTTCATCATTGACACATAGAAGTGTAACGTACGTAGTAGAAAATAATACGGGTTGTGAATTCGTACGAATGCACTTATCCTTCTTGGTATGACTGCAAACATACAAATGCATCTATAACAAACATTTGCCCTTACAGTGAGTCTAAATTAGGACCTCGTGAGAGTGAAACTCAATATGAGAAACCAAGATGGAAAGTTAAATTTCGTTTTTTTACGAAATGTGATAAACCATTGGCAAATAAATCGATTATCAACTTTCAACTCCTCAGAAGTCGATAATGTTTTGTCAGTCGTGACAAATGGCAGAGAGTGTTAACCAAACGTAAACATATTTAAGATTATAATGTTTTTTAAGCCCTGTCTTAAATTCCAGGTAAGTTCTTTGTCAGTTATTCCTTCTCAGTCGTCACTACTATATCATTAATTAGCATTACTTACACGTTATACCATTATTGGAGCTATGCTATAATTATTACATCACTTTTTTCTTTGACTCACGTTACAGTCACTGGTGTGATTGTGAACGAATGATATCTACCTCTCATTAGTAAACTTTCCATATTTCGAAACTGATGAGGTGCGCTGTCGTAATAGCTGCCATAACTTGTAACATCTAGAGACGGGTAACGCATCCACTCGAGAGCGAGAGTGGATAGAAAATTGATTTAGTCTTAGCACGCGACTGAACCACCGAGGTCAACGAATTGGCCGATCACTTTCTCTGAGACCAGCAGCGTACAAGTGTACAACTTGTGGTCGTGGCGTGGTTTACCGTCTATCAAACGTTTATCTGTAATCTCGTAATTTACCGATGGGACCAAAGAGCTTTTTATATTCACCAAAGCTTATCTATGAAAATATTCAACTGTACATCTAAGTTAAATTGATTGAAGATTATGCCTTTGCAAGTTGTTTGTGTTAAATCCTGTTTTCATCACTTCTCCATTCGCATTTAATGACATGTTATTTCCAGTTCTCTGATTTCAGTTTTGTAATTGCTTTATTTTACTGTTGCTGTAGTGATGCAAATATTGTCGTCCAAATGTTATTATTTACTTGTTTAGTTTACTCAAGAAAATACAGAACGAAATAAGTTCTCTTTGACATTTGAATACCAATATTAGCTCTATAAATTTATGAAAGTTCGACGTAACATGTAAATATTCTGAGGCGTTGTTTACGTGTTCATATGCGTAGTCGTTGATATGGGTATGTTTCATATTATTTATAGTTTAATTTTAACCTTTTCATGATAGATGTAAAGGTGTTGATATATTATTGTGCTAAGAGCCATTTTGTTTTACAGTTTCATTGAAAATTTTCAACTAATTGAGCAAGATATTTTCATAAAGTGCAATATGGTCTGTTCACATCATCCCTAAAAATTATAGCTAAACATTATATTTCCGATACTGGTTGAATTTCATCTTTAAATATTTGTAAATTATTGGCTCTTTTGTTATAAACAACATATATTTTCAACAGTATATGGTTACAGTACTTCTATGTGTCTGATTTTCTTATGCGTCAGTTCATTTGCTAAGTACTTATTTTTGGTTTAAAGCAATGTACGTAATGTCATCTAATCTTATTAACACGCAAGAATGGCTTCATACCAATTTTATCTCTGATAGTTTTAACAGAGCACAAAAGGTGATTTATCATCAGTATGATAGATAAGTACTCTACCTAAGCAAGTACTGTAAAAAAAATCAACAAAAAAAAAATACTAGACTTAAATCAGACTGACAACTTGGCGAATTTGTATATTTCTAGAAAAAAAATTAAGAATAAAAAAACAGGCAATTTAATATACACTAAAATACTTAAATCTTCATCCAAGTTTTGTTGAAATCATTTCATGGTGTTAGCTTAGCCCAATATTAAGTGTGAGTTGCACCACAGAGCTAGTTCAAGTTAAATTTTGCTATGACTAGCTGGCCTAGCTTGGACAGTTAATTGTCACTGTCAAATTATGACATTTTGACTATCGTCAAATGGTGCAAATGCAAGTTTATCCTGAAGTGTACTTCGTATTAGGCTCAACTAGTACAGCTAAGTTAACTTGTTTTTCCTATCGGCCACAGGTGAATCAGTTTAGCCTAGTCTGTACCGGTTTATCCTATCGCCTAATGGATGAACTGGTTTGGCCTAGGAAGACCTAGTTTATCCTAAAATCAATTTGGCTGGTAAAATATGCATATAACTTAGATACTAATACAATCCCGGATTATAACTTTCCAAATCTTTTTTATGCAGACCTCATTCGTTATTTACAACTTTTCTTGGCGACAAGAATTATTTGGCAAAAAGTGCAATTTGATACGAAACGATGCATACACAATGTCGCGTTGATTGTGCCTTAATACGCAAGCTGAGCCCACAAAGCGTTCGATTACCGAGAGAGTGCCCGTGAATCAGCGGCTTCACTTTCACCCAACGACGCCGCGAGCTCGATTCGAAAACGTAACCACTAACCGGTCGAATTGTACGTGCCCCCTTGTTATTGGTTTGCGTTTACGTTAATATCGGACTATCGAGTGAGGTGTGCTCTCTATACTGATTAACTTTATGATTAGTCAGTTGTCAGTAAACGGTATGACATGAGGTATTGTAATTGTATTAGGGTACAAAAATTTTTTTTGTCTCTAAAAATGTTACGGTCACTATCTTGAAGAGAAATCTGTGACATGATGTAATAGGGATGGTGACTAAATTTTTTTCCTCGTCTATTAGGTAGATTATCAAAAAGTGTTGGACACGTATATTTTTTTTTCACACTATCAAAACATTACATAGATATATTGATTTAATATATCGCTTGACGTCACGCGTCGATACAATTTTTACTTAGAAGTGACGTTCCAAACTTTGACGCGCTTTATATTCGTCATTTTTTGTTGATTGAAAAAAAAATTGTGTCCATTATTTTTTGAAATTCTAACTGCCGGTCTAATTAGAAATTTGTTTACTTTACCCTGTCGTGGTGTCTCCATTGGATCTTTCAAAATGTTACGGTTTTTAGCAGAGTTTGCCTAGAAGTTATGTCACAGAAACTTCATTCTCTAAATATGAAATCATTAAAACAATAAAATTGTCATAACTTTTTTTTTTTTAATTTTCTTTCACAATGACTAAGAACATTTTACGTTCTTATTCCTTACTCTTTGATTTATTGTTATATTTAACAAACGCATTTCTTTTATGATATATTTCAAATAACTATTTAATATATTTGATCTTACTTTGATATTAATATTTTAGAAAAAACAGATTGAAATAAAAAATGTTGTTGAGTAAAAAAACATAAATTAATGCTAGAATGGGATTGCCAAAAAACTCTCATCGCGACTGACGTTACATAATTGCGACTCAACTGCTTCATTAGTTGAATAACATAAAAGCATACAGGACTTCTGTATGCTTTTACTATACCTACATGTTTTGAAAGCAATTTATGCCTCTATAAACCATTATTAATTTACGTAAGCATTTGGACTGAGACTTTAAAGGCATTTTATGATGCTTGCACATTAAATTTCATTTTAAATCACGATAATTGACATTAAGAAACTTGTTTTTCTTTTTTCAGGTAAGTTCAAACTACTGGTAAATTCTTCCAGATACTGGTAAGTACATAAAATACGTCTGATAGACTTTAAATGATTTTTATGCCGCTTTTAATGCGTAATGAAATTTTATTTTTCTATTGGCTCCTGATATTAAATATGAAAAGATATCGTAGAAAAAATATTGTTGGTGGAACAGCGTAAACATTTGCATATCTATAAAACCGCTTGGAAAGTAAATAACGACCGGTTTAATTGTAAAGCAATTAGGGTTGAAAAGGTTTCCGGTGCATCGAAGCCGCGCACCGTGCCGGCGATAGGCTCGTGGCGGCGAGGCGGTGGCACTCCCACTCGCCGGCACTCGCGGCTGCGGCAAACCCGCTCATTCACGCCAGTCCTCAGCCGACTACTTCGGCGAACACACGCGCGTCTCGCGACGAATCCGATGTTAGTGTACGATTACGACATCGCGGCGCAACTCAGACTTTTACCGTGACAGTGAACTCAATTATTCCGAATATGGGTTAAACGCCCTTTTGATCGTGATGAGTCCGGGCGAGCGTGCCGCCTTCGGGCGCCGCGAACCCGCTCGTCCCCATTATGCCACCACTGCACCAGGATTCCCAACGTCTTACTATCAACCATACGGAGTGCCTCACCCCAACGCTTGGCTCGGTGCACCACTCATTTCTATGGCAGGACGTGCACCTCAACCTGCTAGAAACACGCCGGTGTCGAAGTTGGCAATGCAAGCACAAGGCGTGCCACTGATAATACAAAATCGTCATGACCGGCGAAAGTATAACACAACAGCGGAGCCCCGTAATCAACGACCCCATACTAATGGTCACAATGAACACACCACAAGAGAAAAGTGCGAACAGACTACCGAGGGGAATAGGCCTCGCAATCAACAACAACAGCCGCGTTCCACGCGAGGCGGACGTAACAACAACACGGATGCGGTTAGTGTAGCAAGTGATGAGAGTTCCGGCTCTACTAATTCTGAAACCATGTTGCCCAGGATCATAAAACCGCGAAAGCGACGCAAAAAGGATAGGAAACCTAACAATATAGCTCATGACTTAACAGCTGCTGGCTTGGATCTCGGTGAAGTCGACCATTGTGTGGTTTCTAGCGCAACTCATAACGTTTATGATGAATCTTACAGTCGAGAAATCACTTTACCGTATCGTTTGGATGTAAAAGTTTTGGATTACCCCGACCCCGCGCCAGAAACGTATCGTGTGTCTGCGTTAGGGGAAGCTTTAGAGGCTACACGTTTTGGAATTGCGGAAGCCGTTTCTCCTGCCGAATCTGCTGTTAGTTCTTGTCAGTGCCGTTACTGTGACCCTGTAGGTCAAATATGGGATGCAGATTCGATTGCAGATCTTTTGGACGAAAATTCTTGTGGGGATTTCGCACCTACTAAATTGGAAGATTCTATGAAAGTGGTTGGACCATTGGGAAGACGAGGCGGTGACACAACTTTACGCCGCAGTTGGAGTGACCCATCATCTCGAGTACCCGAACGACGAGATATTAATAACACGGACGCATATTCTGCCCCTAATTTATATTCATTGTTTCCACCTTCAAGGAGAACAAGCTCTCCGGGGCCACGATCCCCTCTGGCCTTGGAAATATCTTCAGAAATCGTCACGTCAATGAACGGTCATCGTGACCTGGAAATCAAATTATTTTCGACCTCGCCTTCGGCTACGAACTCCGACCGCCGCTCCTTCTTCGCAGATAAAAGTGAAAGTGCCCGGAACAAATGTATTAACGCAACTGATGATAATAAAGTGTATAGTGCAGTGAATAGTGGCAAAGCTGAAACAGCTGTAATAAACGAAAAACAAAGTGTCGAAGTGTCCGAATCCGGATGTTCATCTGCGTTCGTAGCCAGCAAGCCTTCACGCAACATTTGTGATTTAGCCTTAGTTACTGCCTGAGATCTTTCCGATCGAGTCGTTTGAATTATAAGAGAAAGCATTGGGTTAATCTACTTCGTGAAAAGGGTATCCGCGCTCGCCATTTGAGCTGGACTCAAATTGTCTCAGCGAGGCATTCACAGAGCGTTGTCCGATGGCCCATTAAAATCATTTATAAAAGATCTCTTAATCGGTTTCCTGTAGATTTTATAAAATTTAATTTATTGATAACAATAGCTTAGGAAACTGATGGGGAGCTTTATCTGGAGAAATGCGACTCGCTGTTTAACAATATTCTCAAAACGAGTACTTGGATTTTGTATTGTAGGTATGAACCATATGTACGTAAGCTTAATTTGAAAAAATCTTCTTTCTTTTTTGTAACAATACATATAGCAAAACTGGCACAGTCATACTGCATCTTGAGTGGATGCTCCGTAGAAGCCCGCGTGGGCAATTAGCGTTTCACACTACTGACACGGTTCTCGCGGCTGCGGTGTGGAGCGCACTATTGCGGTTTCCCGCGGTTTTCACCGCGCTCCGTTCCGGGTGGCGCCTCCAACGCTCGCGCAACTTTTCACATCGCTAATAGCTTTGACAGATATGCTATCTGTAAACTTCATCTCCATTTCATTTCTTTCCAAGAACGAAACCCTTTTGATTGTTGCCGAAAGTATTATTATAAGGTTAGAATCATCCATTTTCATTTCATTTATTTTTTTATTGCTAACCATCAGCAATTTTGTGGAAAAGACAATAAATTAAATTTTATTTTCATTAGTATTCCATTCTTATATTACGGTGTTTCAAAGATAATATCAGTTTAACCATCATCCATATTTATCATTCATCTGTAACATCCATCATGTCATTATGTGACCTATCATATTAAGTATGAAATCCATTCTGACGTGACATGACTGATATCATGAAATATTCCAAAGGATCTATGTATCCAAAATACTAAAAAAAGGTTGTAAGATAGGAGACATTCTTTATATTATTATCAATAGATAATCTTCACTGTGTATATGATAATTTGTCAATTGCCGGTTATATAATTTGTTGTGGTTTTAACGTTTACTCTGAATCCAAGTGACCGTTTTTATAGTACATAAAATCATAATTGTACAAGATAACGGGGTTAAACTGGTCGTTTTATGAAAACAGTTTTACCTTTATTGATAAACAGCGAAATCTATTTAAGTATCTTTCTCAGTCTTACTTTATGCTTTGTCTATATAAGGGTCCAACAGCGTAAGTGATACCAGATAAAGTTCCACGATGTAGATAATGTGAATATAACTAAGTTATTCATAGACTGTGCCCACTGTGGTGCAGTCTCTATCGTTGGGTTTTACACTCTACGGGCTGTTTCGTTATTTCCTTTTTTATTTTTGTGTTGTTTGCTTATATTGCTCGGCGCGTGCGTGGGATGACATGATAAATTGTTTCTTGCTTGACTTTTTTCTCACTGCGACAGGCTCAGCGTAGACAGGGAATGATTACTGGGTCCAATCTACTTTAAATTCAGATTTTAACGCTTAATGATAGGACCCTATTACTATACTTTGTAACCGAATGTTTCTCTTAACATTTGTTGATATAAACCGAAGTTGAACTTTCTTCATTTAATATATACTTTTAGCGAAAAGGAAGAAGGTAATAGCTTCATACTGTGGTTTACTTCCTAGTTTTTTAGCGATTCTTTCGTTTCTTATACTGTACCTATTAAATTAATATTCCAGACGGCGCTTAGCCTGTTGTCGTGTTGGGATTTTGTTAAAGGGCGTGGTGCCAGACGTTGTTGTAAAACTCAACGATACACCTCACTTTAATGTAAACAAAATAGGCTATGTCTAACATACTGAATGAATGCATTTTATACATAAAAATGTAGGTTTAATATTTGTTTGTGTATGTCGTGAGGCATGAGTTACACGCTCGCACACTATTTTTGTACAATAAATACCATGTCCTGATGAAAATTTTTGTTGTTTTATTTGTTAATTTGAGCTTCATGCCAATCGTAGTCAGATTATAGGAAGCAAAATTTCTAAGACCCAATCTCGTCGTGTAAACGAAACTAATTTTGATGACGTAATAACTGAAAATTCAGAAGCAGTATTTTGTAAACACCGGGTGGTTTACGTAACTGGCAAATGGAACTCTCTATTGTAGCCGAACAGCTGTTGGTTAGTTACGCATGTACCATTGTGCTCTTGTTTACAACGGCATTGTGTGGCAAGTTACGGATGGAGAGCGGTCGAAAAAGTAAAAATCAATCCACGTTTGCGAAACCGAGCAACGCTGCGATGGAGTTATATAATTGAAATTTGAGTTATGTAGTTTTATACCGCAATTTGGTGCCGAGTACTGCCGAGTCACCGCGTCAAACATTTGGTGATTGCTTGCAGTCATAACTTTTTTCGTAACTGAGTCAGAAACAGAACATATTTTTTTCATGTACGTACTTTAAAACGACCAACTCTTTTCTTTGTTTGAATACAGAGATGAAGAAATATGATAACATGTTATATCCTATAAAGTTAATTGAGTAACTTGCACACATTATATCTTTTATTTATGTTTCTAGCTATCTAATGCCCTTCATTTGGCTATTCGTGTTGGCTTTATGTTAACTTGACGACAGTCTGTTCTTATCATGCTCTACAAGGAATGAAAAGGACAGACTGATGTCATGTTTACAAAAGACAAACACGAATAGCCAAGTGAAATGCCAACATAAATGTTGAAGTTGGAGACAGACATATCGTTTATTTTCATATTGATCGTTCGGGTCAATAATACTTTTTATGATTCATGTGAACATCAAACTCGTCTTCGTTCACCCGCAAATTAGACCATTGTTGTGTAACGCAGCTATGTTTACACTGCTCTTTATGTGCCTGGTTGCGGGTTAGTGCTTCAGAACCGACAAGGACACCGCCTTGGTTAATGTCACGCCGATGTTTGCCTACCCATTTTTATGGAGTCGGCTGTGCGAAACTACGTTGTATTTCAGTACGGCCCGCGCTTTTTATGAGCTCGTGTTTACATAATAAAGCGCTTTGTTTTTTTTCCAAAATTAAAAGCCTAATTGTTTGCTATCGCTGCCAATTATTTTAATTTAAACAGTAAAGTTCATTAACCTGGTCTCATATTTTGATAAACAACTAATATTTTAAGTGTTTTAACTGTTAACCTTTTCCCTACATTTTTTTTCATTAGGTAGAATTCTGATATGAATTTTGTTTCCATTATCTCGTTTTCATGCTCCGTTGTCAATAATGATTATTTACAACTTCTATCAGAGTAAACAACAGCGTTTATCGTTACTTGATAAAGAAAAAAAATCAATGTTAACAAAATGGTATGGTAGTAGACAAAAAGAAAATCAATGAGTCGCATATCAGTCTTAATTTAAAATAATGATGTGTCGTGTCGACCCATTATGTTTGTCCTGACGTGTTAAATAGTTTACAAATGTTTTGTTAGCCTGCGTGCGGTAGCACGTGGCAGGGTGACCTTGTGGACGCCCGACCATAGAAATCGCGTTCTGTACTGACTTGCCAGTGTAAACATAAGTTAACACTGTAGTGTAGTGTAGACTGTCGTATCTAACCACGTCGGTCGCAGCCAGCGTGAAATGCAAACAGGCAGTAAAATGGTTTTATGATATTTCCGACTTTAAGTTTATTAAGGATAATGGAAAATTTTAGTGTCCATTTCTCAGTATAGCACTACCATGAAACGATAAAATCACAGACACTATTCTGTTATCTCATTTTGAATTTATTATCTCAATCCATAAAACCAATATTTACGAAACAATAGTGAATAAAAAGAGCACCTTTATGGAATATGAATGAAGAAATCGTATTAGAAGTTAATATCTTCGCATAAAATAGTGTAATAGTCCTGCCAGTTGTTCCAGTAAGGAGTTTACGATGGACCAACCAATCTCCTATCCTTTGTTCCGAGAGACTATAAACTGGCCTGGTTGTTTGGAATTGTATTATGTACCAAGTAACGTGGTAAAGCATTGGCCTTTGATAAGCATGTATAGCTGAAGACTGAAAGCCTTTTACATGCGAAAACGATATATATAACAAGCCCATAAAAACCTTTTACTAGAGGATTCTAATAATGTCAAGACGGCATTATCTCGCTTAGTTATAGATTCCTACTAATCCAATTGTTATTTCGTTCAACATAATATAATTGTTCAAAATCATTTATGTTTTACATAAATATTATTTACTTTTATTAAAACCAATAACCAAGATACACCTTTCACTTGACAACAGCTCGACTTAGTGAGAGCCAAACTTGTTTCTTTCATACAAACCTTATGTATGAAAGAAAAATTTTGGTAATCTTTGCAAGATTACCATAAAATTCATAAATCGGGGTGGCGTTTATGTACAGTAATATCAAAATTAATTTATCCGACCAAAGTCGCGGCGGATCGCTAGCTAGATTATTCATAAATCACTATCAGTATATTTCAAAGCAGACAATAGGGATTGATGACTAACTTTTTGTCTTCTTCTATGAGGTACATTACCAAAAAGTATTGGACACGTATTTTTTTCACATAATCAAACAGTTACAGAAATAATATCTTTGAAATTATCGCTGAATGATTATATCATTGTAATTTTTTGGTCTTTTAAGAAAAGCAAAGAAGTGATTTACATCACCCCTATTACATCGTCATCAATGATATTCGCTTGCTAGGTATTATTTTCTGAAACTGTCACAACATTTAATTTTGAATTAAATTTAAGATTCTCCTAAAAGATCCTGCAACTGTCATACTCCTTGATGTTGATAAACTTCTTAATTATACACTGGTATACTTGGTGCATTATATCATTTTCTTTCGATATACTGCTGGAATGTAATTAATCTGAAATTATTGAAAATATTCAAATGAAAATTGCCTCCTTAGGCTCGGCTGCTTTAGTTGTTTCTGTAGGAGCTAGTTTAAGAATGGCAGCGTTTCATACCGGGCGTTTATTTATCGCCTCTCGTAGAGTCAAGTAGTATTTCTAAAAGCAGCCAGGGTAAGTTTTCTTTGGCGTCGCCGGGAGGCGGGGTAGAAAGCCGGCTGGTTTCCGTTCAGAAGTTTCACCAGGCTTTCACTAGAGATTGCTCTTACCAGAGATGGCATGACGTCGTTGATTAATGTTGTACAATAACCACCTTAACTGCAATATAAATGTTTGAAACTTACAACAATGCAACAATAATTTAGGATAAACCCACGCAATTAAAGTCTCATACTAACATTGAAAATTTTAAGATAAATGTTAACACATTTATTATTGTTTCATAATTAACAACAACGCAAAAAAATAAAGTCTCTCTCATTTGAAAACAAAAAATATGAACGCGTTTGTCACGCTGAAATGTATATTTTCGTTTCACACGAGACAAATAGCGGTCATTTAAATATTCTAATTTAAAACAGTTTATCCTTTGAATGCAGCAGTTGGGTCGTTGCACGGGAGATGAGCATGCATAACATTCTATAGGTTGCACGATGGAAAAAAAATCTCGGGCTCGTTGTTTCCACTGCGGCCAGTGTTGTATCGCATGTCGTAAAGTGATTAACGCTTGACGTCGCGATGATGTATGTTCAAACCGAATACATATTTGCAACAAACCACCGGACTCATCAAAATAAGGTCGAATTATGAAAGTGTTAACTACCTTGTATTTTTAATATTATGCAGCCACCTACACGCTCTTGAAATTAGGATGATTTTGTACTTAGCCGCCGTGTGGAATAAATGGAAACTGCTCGTGTTTATGATAGCCTCGGTGATGCGCAAATGCATTGTACCGGATTATTGCACTTCCCAAGCGATTATTAACGAACTGTTAAGTCATCTAATGAAGTATTCAACGCTGGACGTCTCGTAAGAACCTGCACGCCTTCTGGTCCGGTTTTAATAACAAATCATTGCAGCTATTATGCACAGCTTTAAAATGAATTTAATTCTTCATAGTGTTATCTTTATTGTATTTATTATCCTTGTTATTGCCAATTACGTTGTACTTTACTTATTTTATTCTTGTATTGATGATTATAAAGATGTTGTAGTATGTAAATCTTTTTTACTGCCATTAATATCCCGTAGCTTTGTGTGCGTTAACATCGATAATTTTTCGTCGTTCGTCTTAAGTATATCCCTGAACCCTTTATTTGCGATACCCTTTTAATATCATCCATCGATTGTACTCGACTCTGACAGCCATGTTTATTTAAAGCTTTGTTTTGGTAATGTTATGTTCGGATTATATAAAGTTTCACCAATTATATTTAGAAATCATTTTTCATTAAACATATTAAGCCCGAAGAAGTAATTAAAAAGAATCAGTACACATTCATGCATAATAGTTTGTGCTTACACCAATCATTATAAAAGATGAAGACAAAACAAATAAATGATAAATATGTTCATTAGCGGCTAGGAGTTTGAAGCCAAATGCTTACAATGCTACCTACTAATCAGTATTCGAACCCAGAACCTTTGGCGCAATAGGCAGGGTCGCTACCATTGCATCAACTAGTCGTCGATTATTTTACAGAAGAAAAAAATAGGTTCATGGTTCGATACCGGCAGGTAGTTGAGTAAGGCAGTCGCAGATTTCATAATTTTCACCTTGCGATTTTCTATAGACGCGAGCCGATAAAGCGAGTCGCGAGAGAAAGCCGATAGTGTTGCGTTTTCCTAAGTTTTAAGCCTAGCTGCTAAACGCACAAGTGAAGAGTGAAAGAGTTTGCTGTTTCAGCGAAAGAATGAGTAACGCATTTGTGTTAGTAATATAAATACAGCTTATTATACCTTTTGTATTCAACTGCTACATTATTATATGAGATCTCGCAGAGTCTTGATCTGATTTTACAATTCGGGGAATGTAAAAATATATTACTCAATACTCATGCAATATTGGAAAAGAAACAATTTTCA